AGGTAGCGGAGGCCCCATCCCTGGAAACATTCAAGGCCAGGTTGGATGGGGCTCTGAGCAGCCTGACCTAGTTAGCAGTGTCCCTGCTCCTGCCAGGGGGGTTGGACTAGATGACCTCTAGGGGTCCCTTCCAACCCAAAACATTCTATGATTCTATGACTGTAGTAGAGTATCCAGGCTCAGTTGGCAACACAAGGAAATTGTTGATGATAGCATAGCTCTCTGGGCAGATTTATTTATCGTGGGGTTTTTTGTGGGGTAACCTGATTTGTATTGTGCTGCGTGATGCCAGGCTGGACTGCACCTGCAGCAGACTGGGCAACAGAGAGAGGAGTTTGGAGTGGTGCCCTGGTTGTGTGAAAACTGATAATTCATGGCCGTGCTCTGATACGGGTCTGAAGGTTTCGCTGTTCTTTGTATCAGAAGATTATCTTTCTTTGTACTGGCTAACAGTTTTAACTTAAGGGAATTTGTGAAGTGTAAAAATGTTGTTACCTGCTCACCTACAGGTTTATTTGGTTTTAAAAATGCTTTTGAAAGCATAAACATTCACTTTTAGGAGACAATACCTAGATCTTTTTAATATTTTGAGCATAAAAATTCTTAAAATATTTCTTATAGATGTGACAACTGAGGCAGTAGGTGTAGCTATTGCTGCACCTCCATCAGAAGGGGAGGCAAATGCAGAACTGTGTCGCTACCTCTCTAAGGTGCTAGAAGTGAAGAAGAGTGAAGTTATTTTAGAGAAGGTACTTCCTTTTTTTTTTTCCTTTCAGTCTTGCCCTACTGCAGTTTAAATTCAAAATTTTGAAACTTGCTTATTGAGTAGAGGGAACTGCTCTCCAAGTTCAGTCCAAAAGACACTTTAAAGGTGTTTAGTTGAGTTAATGGAATGATTCATTAAGAACAAACCTAGTGTAGGAAGAACCACAGCCGATCTTGAGATCTTTAATCAGAATAGTTCTCATCCTTACACGCTTTCCAGATTTGTGTGGTTCGTGTTTTCTGTGTTCTTCAAAGATTCTCTTGTTTTCATGTCACATACAGTTCACAGAATTTGTGCTTTGCAGAGATTGTGCATTTTATTAATAACTTTGGATTCATTTTTTGAAGTAAATATTTGAGTGACAGTTTTCTGACAATTAACTGTCACACATAAGCAAGAGCATATATAAGCACTTGGATTATAGCTGGGCCTCAAGATTTTCTGTGTTAGAATTATATGTCAACTTTGGTGAGCAGAAACTCTTTGTTTTATTCATTGCACTGAATAATTTGTTTCATTAGTTCACTGTACTTAAAGTCAGTCTTTGCAGCCATGTTCACTTATGAACATGAGAGCACAATGAAAAATAGTGCTTTTTATTTTTGTTTGTTGGTTGAATGTAGTAGTTGTAGAAGTCTGTTAAAGGGTAGTGGTAAATGGCAATGTGATTGATGAATTGAGCACTGTGTTGCTGAAAGGTAGAGATGCAAAGACTTGAGGGTTTTGTTTGGTTGGTTTGGGGTTTTTTTCCCTGAATCATGGGCAAACTGCTTACTCTGTTTGTCAACATTTTCCAGATAACACTGCACTCCTGCCTTAAAGGGATGTTCAGGTTTAACTCGATTATTCTCATAAGTGCTAAGCAGAGTTGAACATAAAAGGGGGGGACAGTGCTATCTGACCTTCTTGACTTTGTTGTTCTGACCTATGGTGTCTGAATAATTACATGCTAGTGTTTATTTTTCACAAGCCAGTGTTTGTTCTCCATGAAGCATTGTGGTAAAGTCTGTATTTTACCCATGGCTTAGGTTTTTCCATCCTGATCTGCTAGGTTTAAACAGCAAGTGATTTTTGGTACTGCTTGCTCCATTGTGTGCTGCTTGCTTTATGATAACATTAACAAAACTAATCCAAATCAGGAAATTGGTGGGAAATGATCCAGTATAAAACTGGGGTTACCAGATTTCTATGCAAGGGCCTTGATTTTCATCACCAGCTGTCTAGACTGCTTCAAAAATCTATTTTTAATTTTAAATTTCATGCTGTATTTCTGTGTAGTAGAGTTAAGGACTACTTCCTCCTGCAGGATGTCCCTTGTGGGCTTTTCAAACTTTTTGCCAGGCTGCAGGTTAACAAGCAACTTGTTTCTCATGGTTTACTGAGTAGTAGCAAAATTGTGCATTCAGGCAGTATGAAATGAAGTGGCAGGTTTGCCAGTTCCTATGTAAAATAGCCTTTTTTTCAGTAATACAAAACTAGGTCAATGATACTTCAAATAACTGCTGTATGAATTTGAATGTCTTATAGGTTATATACTATGTGATTTCATGTAGTTGATATTATCAACCTGAGAACTCAGCATAAGGGTAGCTAGTAATCTGTGGGAGACAACTCTGAAGAAAGATCTGAAAGTACGCATATATACATATATATACATTCCCATTTTTTAAAAACAAAAATGCAAATTAGTTGGAGTCTCACTCCTAGATGATAC